TTACCAAGGTGAGCATCCACCAACACTGATACTGCTTGCTCAACAAGAGTTCTGTTATTACATTCAGCTACACCCATTTGTTCTGGTGTAAATGGGATGGATTGTTTATGCTGGATTCCATTTGATGTTAAATAAATATCCATCTCATTATTTACATACTCAGTACCATTATCAGAATATAAGACTTTGATTGACTTTCAACAAATGCTTGAAATGCTTAAATTTTTCAACAAATACCTGAACTTTTCAAAGACTTCAGACTTATTTTTTAAAAAAGTAAACAAGTCATTAGTGACAAATCATCAATAAAATTAATAAAGTAGCAAGAACCACCAATTGATGAAACATTCATAGGCCCACACAGGTCACTCTGTACTATGTATAGCAACTCTTTCGCATGCTTAGCTTTTCCCTTAGGAAATGGTTGTCTATGCATTTTGCCTTTAATGCATGATACACAATTTAACAATTTTCCGTTAAATTTAAAACTTTCGACCATATCTGTTAATATGATCATTCCTCCTTCACTTAAATAGCCCACTGTTTTATGTAATAATTCATTTGAAATATTTTGAGTAGTAATTAAAGCCTATTCATTACATAAATCAAGAGAATACAAACTGTCCTCCATACCTGTTGCACTAGCAACTAAATGTTTACCATCATACACAAAACATCTTTCACTTGTAAAAGTACTAACCATTCCAGAAATTTTATTTAATACTTAATAGACAGTAACTTGGCTCTTAACTTGAACATATTACTAAACGTTAGAGACTACCTTTTTTTATTTCTAGATAAGAGGAAAGTAATTTTACCCTTACATTCTACTTCTGTCACTGAACTTCTAGTTTTTAGTTGATGAATACTAGCATCCTGATAATCATCTAATAATTCTTTATGTGGAGTCATGTGGTAAGAAGCACAAGAATCCATGTACCAAATATTGTAATCTGGATTCGAATTAATTACACGAATTTCTGCTACATAAGCTTCTTCCCCCTTTCTTTTCTTTTAATCCAAAATTTTGTTTCCACGTTTAGTTGTTAAGAGCTATTCTCAGATTGATGGAATAGACTATACTGAAATATTTGCACCAGTTGTCTGTATGTAACATTAAGAGTTTTATTAGCTTATGCAGCTATATATGATTGGGAAATGGACCACATGGATTTGTACAGGGAACTCTAAATGAAGACATTTATATGAAAATACTAGATGGCAGAAAGCAGGGAATTCGAAAATTGACCAAGAAATTCAGGGAAAAGTCAAGGAATTTAAATATTTTAGTCAAAATCTGGAAAATCAGGGAATTTCATACAGCAATCCCCAACATCCCAAAAAGCGAGTTTTGCACCAATGTTGGAAGTGATCACTTTCTTGGCAAATTATGTATTGCGTGAGCGTCATTCGGACAGCTGGCATAGACCCAATTTTCGCAGCTCAAATTTTATTGTCTTTTAGAAAGGCAAAGCAATTTTGCAGCAACTTTGGTTACCAGTAACCTCGAGAATCAAGAGGCTCACATGCACATGTGCAATGCATGTTGAACTAAAGAAAATATGTATTCTTGTATAAAACAAAATCGGTTTAATCCCAGTATACGGTACATGTATTCTATTCTAACCTCCATGTACAGTACACACTAGATTTGGCAATATTATGATGAGCAGTAAACAGGTCATTTTGGTGTTGGCAACAGTTTTCAAAATCATGCCAAGGCCGTTGTGTATACTAGGATTTTACCGCAAAATCTTTTAAACCTTTTTTCTCTTTAATAAATGTCTTGTTTTTCATTTTGCAGCAAAATACAAAAATAGTAACCAGTCACCTAGGCTAACCATTTAATATAACTATATTTGCCAAAATATCATTGATTATTCTAATTCAATTTTTAAGTAGTTAACTTTATTTTAATGCTATTCATATCATTTAATGTTGCTTCTTCCCTCTAAATTTATTTATTATTAGTAAATAATACTTTCAAATTCAGGAAATTTTCTCTGGCATAATCCTGAAATTAATCCTAGCAGTGTGATGGCATACCATCACGAAATTTAATGCACATATTTTTTGCTTATGTATGCTGCTAAATAAATATAAAATACTTGAATTTTATTTTAAAATATCATTAAATAGATTTCTTTCTTTTGTTTAGCTGCAAAATGTCTGCAAAAAATGACATTTTTTAATCCAGATTCAGCAGATTCTAATCTAAATCTTCAGTGGAGGTATTTATAATAATAATGCTTTGGGGATTATATATATATAAGTCAGATTAATTGGTAAATTTTTGCATTTTCAAGTGGTATCATAATTAATTGACCTCTTAGCACAGCCAATGTGCATTACGCCGATAGATTGGAATTTTCTTAAAACACACCTGGAAAACTTGGAAAAGTCAGGGAATTTCATTCTTCTGTTTGAGTGGCAACCCTGAGATGGTTTTAGTGAATTTTACAAGCAAAACTTAAAGGGAAAGGTCCTAAAATTAAACAAAGCATTAGATGGTTTAAAGCAGAGTGGTAGACTATGGTACCATTTGTTAGAAAAGGACTTAATAGCAGAGTGGTAGACTATGATACCATTTGTTAGAAAAGGGCTTAATAGAAACGGGACTGAGACAAGGTTCTTTTGATAGTTGTGTCTATATAAAAATAAATGAAAACAAAGAACTAGTTATTGTCACTATTTATGTTCATGACTTACTCATTTTTACCAATAACATAGAACTTAAAATTTGAGTAAAACAACAACTTAAAATCGAATGATATAGGACTAAAGGGTCCATTATTAGCCTTAGTCAAACTCAGTATGTAGAGAGTATGCTTCGCAAATATAATATGCATGAATATCATGGTGTAAAAAGACCACTAGACCAAAATCAAGTGTTATCTAAACTGCAGTTACCAACTAGTAAGGAACAAAAACTACCTGTTCCTTATCAGGCTGTCATTGGGAGTCTCCTTTATGCAGCTCAAGCACCATGATATAACTTATGCTGTGAATTTGCTTAGTCAATTCTGCAATAATCCAGTAAGGGTTCTCTGGAATGCTGTCAAATGCATCACGCGATATTTTCGAGCCACTACAGATGCTACATTGTCTTTTCCAAAGGACTATAATGTTGACGTCCTTGGTTACAGCAACTTAAACTATGAAGGCGATGTTGGAGATTGACGATCAACCACTGGATATGTTTTCCTCATCAGAGGTGGTGTGGTAAGCATCAACCTACCATTGCAACTAGAACAACAGAAGCCGAATATATGGCTCTTTCTGTAGCTACAAAAGAAGCCATATGGCTTAACAAAATTGTTACAGAACTTAGAATTATTACTGCAAAGCCAATATTATTATACTGCGATAACAACAGTGCTATTAATTTCAGCAAAAATAGTGTGTATCATGGTATATCGAAACATATTGATATACAACACCATTTTGTGTGAGAAGCTGTGAAACTTCAGCACATTGTCATACAAAATATTTCTTCTAATAATGATTGCAGATTTTTTGATAAAAAATGTAAACAGTGCAAAACATGAAAGGTGTGCAAGGATGATGAATTTAAAATGAAGATTAATGTAATGTAATGTAATGTTTTATTATATGTATGTGTGTTAATGTAATTTTTTAATGTATTTAATCAGGATGAATTTTGATATTTAAACCTAAAGTGGGAGTGTAAAAAGAGGTTAGCTTTAAATATGTTCTTGGCCCATAAATGGTGCCACTGGTTTATATACTTCTATAACCGTGCATATCCAATAAAACTCACTTTTGCTCCAAACTCCCAACAGGTACGTAGTGTGTTATTTATTCTTAAACTGCTAAGTAACCACTATTCTGCTATATTGAGTTTCTAATAGAACATCGGGAGGATATGTTCATACATTGGGGATATTTTATCAGTGTGTGGATAAGTGCTAGTTCATAGATCTTTGAAATGTGAACTAATAAAAAAACTTTAACAATTATTTTTGTGTTCAGCAAATCAAAATTAATAGGCATTTGACGATCAACCACTGGATATGTTTTCCTCATCAGAGGTGGTGCAGTATCAAGGTGTAGTAAGCGTCAGCCTACCATTGCAGCAACTAGTAACAACAGAAGCCGAATATATATGGCTCTTTCTGCAGCTACTAAAGAAGCCATATGGCTCAACAAAATTGTTACATGAACTTTCGAATTATTACTGCAAAGCCAGCATTATTATATACTGCGATAACAACAGATGCTATTAATCGCAGCAAAAATAGTGTGTATCATGGTAGATCGAAAACATATTGATACACAACATCATTTCGTGCGAGAAGCTGTGAAACTTCAGCACATTGACGAATTGTCATACAAAGACTACTAATGATATGATTGCAGACTTTTTTGACAAAAAACGTGTAAACAGTGCAAAACATGAAATGTGTGCAAAGGATGATGAAATGTTTAAAATGAAGATTAATGTAATGTAATGTAATGTTTTATTATATGTATGTGTGTTAATGTAATTTTTTAATGTATTTAATCAGGATGAATTTTGATATTTAAACCTAAAGTGGGAGTGTAAAAAGAGGTTAGCTTTAAATATGTTCTTGGCCCATAAATGGTGCCACTCGTTTATATACTTCTATAACCGTGCATATCCAATAAAACTCACTTTTGCTCCAAACTCCCAACAGGTACGTAGTGTGTTATTTATTCTTAAACTGCTAAGTAACCACTATTCTGCTATATTGAGTTTCTAATAGAACATCGGGAGGATATGTTCACACATTGGGGATATTTTATCAGTGTGTGGATAAGTGCTAGTTCATAGATCTTTGAAATGTGAACTAATAAAAAACTTTAACAATTATTTTTGTGTTCAGCAAATCAAAATTAATAGGCATTAGTTGTTTTTATCTGTGATACTTTTTTCCTGTTGACATGTATAATTAATGAAAAAGGGTTGAGCTTATTTCAGTATAATTACATGTGATTTCTGTGAAATTTTTTTATAGAATGATGATGAAAGTGAGTTATTTAGTAACGTGAAACAAGAAGTCGCAAAAAAATTAAAGGAAAATACCTCTTTGTGTGATCGCATACAAATAGAAGTATGTTACTATTATTTTTATTACATAATATAAGAAATCATTGTTTGATGTATATACTGTATATCACAAGTCTGTATAGCTAAATTTTTATTTTTCTTCCATTTTTAAAATATGTTTTTTGATTTACTATGCAGATTTTTCTAAGCATCAGTAATTTTGTGGTTTTAGTACGTTTTTTATGGTGTTGTGTTAATGTGACCTCATATCTAGAAATGAATATTTAAACTCTATTTTACCAACAGATTTTTTAAAATTTTTTGCCAGTAGTGGAATATTACCGCTTTTTTAGTCAAAAGTGCTGGCTTCATGAATGATAAAAATGAAATTTTGCATGCTTGTAACTTTCTTCATGTTTATCAATGAATAACCCATTAGTAATATATTAACTGAAATTCAGTAAATATGCATACTAATGAAATTACACACACTGCAACCCATTTTACAAATCTTTCCATTCAAGATTTCTAGCTGTTTAAACATTTATGCCATTGTCATGAAATCTGTAATAGTTTTGATACATCCACATTGAGATAAAATTTCTCTGAAGTTCACGCTGGAAATGAATATTTTGCATATCATAGAATGGGAGTTTTGATGCCTGTTTCCTATCACCTCTCTCTGTCCCCCATTAGATCACCAGATCTCCCAGTTTTTAATTTTCATCCTTTACTAAGGAACATGTATCTCAAAAGTTGATGAAAGTTAAATCGCACAGATTTCCCTAAAGTAATAATGTCTTTACCCCTAGTGATTTTTAGCATAATGTTTCTTACTAAATTTTATTTGATCTTAATTTTTTAATCCACTGGGGGCATTTATAGAAGTTTTTATGAAGATTCAAGCAGGGTTTAATAAGTTAATATTTGTATTTAATTTTACATGAATATGTAGTACATTAAGTTTATCTACTCAATACCTTAATTATTGATTCTATTTTTTATCACATTTAATGTGCTTGAATGAATAAAATTTCTCCTATTGGTAATTTTTCTCGGTGTAAAAGTTTAAGAAACGTACAAAATGAAATTAGCCAACAGACATAAAATTTAGAATATTTATATTTTACATCGAAGTCATATGATAAAAGTTCAATAATGTAACCTTATAAAGATTATAAAGAGATTTTGTGTGTCTGAGGATTTTTTGAAAGGAGGTCATTGAAGTAGTGAATACCCCTAGAAACTTCTGGCTTGTTCATGTTTCAAGGTTGAGAGCAGTGCATTGTATTTTATTTTCATTTTCATGAATCTATGTTAAAGATTAAGTAATATTACCAAATTCCTTTATTTAGCTTCAATAAATATCCAAAGAAATCTGAATGTCGAGTGTTGTGCAAAACCTTTTTTCCCCAGCTTCAGTTTTTTAAATGCTCATACCAAATGATTATTTTATTTTATTACTGTTTGTATATACTATTTATAGTATAATTTGTAAATATCAAGCTTAGAAAGACTCTTTATATGTTGTATATACGGTTTTAAAGTAAGTAATAAATGTTGAAAAGGTAAAGATTTCTTATTTTGTAGTGAAAATTACCCTTCTGTCTGACTCCAAATAACAACATTTGGGGAAGCAATTAAATTTCCTTTATTCAGGATGAGCAGCTTTTCTTATGCACATACATCACCCACTTGGAAAATAAATGCAACCAGATGAAAAAGTAGTTACTTGGACATCATGAGGGTTCCTCCCTAGAAGCATACACAGAAGAAGCACATGGTACAAACTCATGGCCCATTTTAAATTCTATATGATGTGCACTGCACATGCTTGGGCTGTACCAAGATGGCATTGTATTAGTATAATTTTTGAGACATCCTCCCCCCCCCCTGAATGAAGAAGTTCATCAGAAATAAAGGTATGAAATTAAACTAAGATGCCTTTGCAAACTTCTAAAGTTCTAAATAATAAAGTAATTGTATGGGCCTCCTTAACATACTACTTGATATCTTCAACATTCAACTGTGCACCTTTTCATCTCTTCCTTTATGAATGTCTACAGTGTTTCCAAGCCATCACATATGGCAAGGTTTGTCTTGTTGTATTAGAACTACGTCACCCATCATGAATTCATGTGCGACATCAACAGGTGTGTATGATGAGCTCCCTTCAATTGTAGTAAATATTGCATGTGCCATCTGTGCCAGAAGTTATTCAGCGGGCCTTGAGAGTATTCAGCTTTTCAGGATAGCATTTCTGCTGCAGGATTTAAAGATTAAGTAATATTACCAAATTCCTTTATTTAGCTTCAATAAATATCCAAAGAAATCTGAATGTCGAGTGTTGTGCAAAACCTTTTTTCCCCAGCTTCAGTTTTTTAAATGCTCATACCAAATGATTATTTTATTTTATTACTGTATGTATATACTATTTATAGTATAATTTGTAAATATCAAGCTTAGAAAGACTCTTTATATGTTGTATATACGGTTTTAAAGTAAGTAATAAATGTTGAAAAGGTAAAGATTTCTTATTTTGTAGTGAAAATTACCCTTTTTGTCTGACTCCAAATAACAACATTTGGGGAAGCAATTAAATTTCCTTTATTCAGGATGAGCAGCTTTTCTTATGCACATGCATCACCCACTTGGAAAATAAATGCAACCAGACGAAAAAGTAGTTACTTGGACATCATGAGGGTTCCTCCCTAGAAGCATACACAGAAGAAGCACATGGTACAGACTCATGGCCCATTTTAAATTCTATATGATGTGCACTGCACATGCTTGGGCTGTACCAAGATGGCATTGTATTAGTATAATTTTTGAGACATCCTTCCCCCCCCCCCTGAATGAAGAAGTTCATCAGAAATAAAGGTATGAAATTAAACTAAGATGCCTTTGCAAACTTCTAAAGTTCTAAATAATAAAGTAATTGTATGGGCCTCCTTAACATACTACTTGATATCTTCAACATTCAACTGTGCACCTTTTCATCTCTTCCTTTATGAATGTCTACAGTGTTTCCAAGCCATCACATATGGCAAGGTTTGTCTTGTTGTATTAGAACTACGTCACCCATCATGAATTCATGTGCGACATCAACAGGTGGTGTATGATGAGCTCCCTTCAATTGTAGTAAATATTGCATGTGCCATCTGTGTCAGAAGTTATTCAGCGGGCCTTGAGAGTATTCACCTTTTCAGGATAGCATTTCTGCTGCAGGTAACATCGTCAGTAGATCTAGCTAGATCAGGTTTAGAAATTAGTCTTTTACCTTCTAAGAAATGAGAAGAAAATGGAGATGGTTCAAAAGGATCATTATACACATAAGTAATCGGCCAAGAATTAATGATAGCTTCAATTTCCGTTATTACAATTTTCAGTTCTTCATAAGATAATAAAACTTTTCCTAGAATTTTCCTCAAACTTTTATTATCTGTACCATCTTCTCCCAAAACCCTCCCCACCAAGCAGCCTTTTCTACTGTATATTTAAACTTCATCCTCCTTTTCCCATAATAATTCATAAATTGATCATTCAGGATTCATAAACTGACGTTCATGATCTTTGGAAATTGTATTCTGCTCGTTTAAAAGTTTTTGCACTGTCACAGTATGTGACATTACATAATCTGCGTCTTGCTATGAAACGTTGAAAAGCAAGAAGATATTTCTCACTTGTTAAGCCTGAAATGATTTCTAAGTGAATAACGTGAATTACTGTCCATGAAAAATGGCAATGCATGCTTTTTTATGTATACCCTTCACATACAGAAGCTCAGCAAAATTCACCCCAATAACCTCAAAAGCACATGCTTCTTAAACTCTGTGGAGAGGTAGTGGAGCTGCTCTCTGAGTCCCGTGGCATGCCTTGAACCTTTTGCATATATATAACAATTGTTCAAAACCCTTTAGATGTTCTGGTGATCTTTGAGTATCCAATAACGATCTCTAATTTGTACAAGCAAGTCAGAAACACTGGAATGCAACACAGTTTGATGTTCCCACATAATTAACAATTCTGTGAAGTGATGCTTTCCAGGAAGTATTCATGGGTTTTTTTGACTAGTAATAAAGCATGAATTCTGAAGCTCTCTGCCTAAATGTACAAGTCCATTTTCATCTAAATTTGGGTCAAGGCCATTCAATCGAGAAGATCTATTCACCTCCTTCCCTCAAGATAATTATATTAATTCTGTTTGGAACTTGAACATTTTATCCAGAACCTTTCAGCCTCAGCTAATTCCTTTTTGGTGATGAATCCTTTTATCTTCTCAGATTTTGGTTTAATATTAAGGCTGCTATAATTATTCAAATTCAATAGCGTTTTGCATTTTGTTTTATCTTCACATGACATCTGTGCAATATTTAACCACCTTTCATTTTCAGTGTCTGCATAATGTGCTTTACCCCCACACGTAATTTTATCAGCTGGATTTTCTTTTCCTGGATAAAAATTCTAATTTTGAGGTTTCGACTTCTGTTGGATTTCTACAACAGGATTGGAGACGAATTGTTTCTAGTCTCGAACACAGCCCTTGATCCAACACAAACATATTTGCAAATCTGTCCACAGAAATATGTCAGTAAGTTTAAGAAATGTAAATAGGGACAATATATATTTGCCTAATCTCACTGCTATTAGAGCTCCCAGAAGCTCTGGCGGTGGAAGTGTAATTTGCTGAATTGGTGCTAGTCAAGATTTAGCTAGCTGGAATCTTGTATTCCAGCCTGCTCTGGGTGGCGTTTTTAAGTACGCTACTGCTCCATATGCTTTTAAACTAGCACCGGAAAATATGTACACTTGCACTTCCTTAGATAGAAAATTTTCAAAGTAGGTTCTCTTAATGGCCCAATTTTGCAGGTGGTTGATTTCGGTACACCATTCCTTCCACTGTGACTGCAGATAATTATGTAAAGGCTCATCCCAACCATTCCCCTCTCCCAGACTGACTGTAATAAAAGTTTTGTTCAGATAGTAAAAGGTATAGTCACTCCAAGGGGTCGACTATCTTGCCACATGTACTTAACATGGTGCATTTTGTAGCTAATTTTTCGC